GCACATCATCAAGCATAAACTCTGGGGGAGGGAGGGGGGGTGAAAAAAAGGTGGAAAACAGAAAATGAATATCTCCTCAGCCTAAGAGAAAGACTGACAATGTTGCACCGAATTGCGAATAGCCTCAAGCAACAATTTCCAAAGCAACAATTTCCGAAGATAGGCGTAGGCGATATAGTGCTGGTGAAGGAGAGAGACCTCGGAAGGGGAAAGTGGAAGCTCGGTAGAGTCCAAACCATAGAGGTCAGAGGCAGTGGCTACGTGAAAAAAGTCACGGTCATTTTACCAAACCAAAACCGTCTGCAGTGACCAGTTAGCCTTCTGTATCCAATCTAGTGTGCGATTATCGTCGTTAGTTGACTCTAAATTTCAAATTTCAATTTTTTGGATTTGAATTTTTCATTTCAATTTAGCTTAATTTCATTTCATTATTTTTTCGTTTTTTATTACGTTCTATTTTTTAATTAATAATTTTTATCAAGTTAAATCGTTTAACTTTTACGTTTTTTTATTTCAAAATTTTTTGCGTAATCCTATTTATCTTTTAAACTCTCCTTTATTTCAGAAACTTTTGGTCTGTGCTATTGAAAAATAATTTTTTTCTTTGAAGGTTTTATAATAGACTACGTATTCAGTAACTTTTCTAATTTTTTCTCAGTTGTTTTTACGATTTTTATTTACAGTTTCAAATGCAAGTTTAATATGGCAAAGTTGCCCGAGATCTTGTTTTATAATGTCTACAAAAAGTATTCAAAACATCACCGTATTTTGGGGGAAAGTGATCGAGCTTAAACAAGAGGTGATAGATGTCGCAGCGCAATGTCGAAGCGGCTATGTCACCATAGTACTGGACGTAGACGACAGAAGGAATGCGGACATGATTGAGACAGCACATTTCATGTTTTTATTTATTTTTTCTTTGGTATCCTTCAGAAATGCTTCAATTTTGTCTACATTCTCGTTGTTGTTTGATCTGTATGCATGGATTGTTTTGTTGGTTTGATTAGATTGCGTTTTATTAGTTCTTTCCAGTACTCATAATGGTATTTTTCTAACAGTTTTGTTTTATTTAAGAAATGGTTAGAATGAAACAAACCGCAAAGAAGACACTATCTCAGTCTTATGGGAAACTGAAAAAGCTGTCTGCGAAAAGGCGGCTTCGTTTGAGTGGTAAGGTGAAACAAGAGGAAGTTTCGAAAATCAAACATCGCCGCTACAAAATAGGTAAGAAACACAAAGATTAGAAAGAACTTTTCTTTAGATGTTTGTAGTTTTTTTGCTTTCGTGGCATAGGCGTTACTTTAGGGGCTCGATCGTTACAGGAGATTAGGTGGTTACAGCAAACAACCAATCTGCTTATTCCTAGAAGCAGTTTTCAGCGTGTTGTAAGGGAAGTGGTACAAAATTTCACAGGGGACAAGGTTAAACTTCGGCTCCAATCTTCAGCACTTTTGACACTACAAGTGAGAATTCTTTTAGGTTTTATAGGCGATGACTGTTTTTCGCTTTAGCTTTCGAGTATTCAGTAGGAAATGATTTTGAGTAAGGAAGAACCATTTTCCTTTTTTGTGCTTGTTGGTTTTTTAAAGTCTCTTCATTTTACCGGGAAACGGTTGCTTCGTGGTTGGTAGATTGAGATGTGCTCTTTTCTTTAGTCAAGTTGCGCATAAATTTAATCATTGAAGAATCAGTTCCATAAAAAGTTAGATAAAAGCCATCTGTGGAGATGCATAGAGAATTGACCAACTCAGCAGTTTAGTCTTCTCTTTTTTCTAGCCGAATTTTGGCAAAAGCTTAAGGTAAACCCTAGTTCTTTACCCTTGTGTTTTGACTTTTTTTTTTTTAATTCCATTGGTGAGATATGTATTCACGTGGAATTTGCTCTCCTAGCGGTGAATGCCTGGGCTCCTACCAGCTTACGGATTAGAATACCTTTAGGGAGATGAGTTGTCGTGTAGTCCTGGCTGGTTGTTGAAACTGCATGTTTTTTAGGAAGCAGCTGAGGTCTACATGACTTGTTTATTTGAAGACGCTAATTTGGCGGCAATTCACGCTAAACGTGTAACCATCTTTCCGAGGGATATCCAGTTTGTGCACCGGATTTGAGGAGAAACACAGAAATTGCGAAGCTGAGCTTCTTAAAGATAGTTGGTTGTTGAAAAGTTTTGTTTAATATTGTCTGGTTTCAAGCTGTAAATGGTTGTTAATTTTTGTTTGTTCGTTGTTGACTTTTATGGTATCTTATACTGGAACTGCACTTTTAAGACAGTTCTTGATCTCTTGATGAGTGTGCCTAACTCGATTTTTGATTTCGCAGTTTCCAGCATGTGCTGGTGTGATTGTATTTTTTCAAAGACGTGGAATGTTGTGAAAAAAGTGTATGTTAATAACGTGGATACATTGTCTTATGAGATGTGAGTGTTCTTCTTCGTTGTAGCTTTTTCTCTGCATGTAAAAATGTGTTGGTTTATGAGCGGACAAATGCAGTTAGAGTAGATGAATAAAGTTTCTGAATAGATAATGAGAAGAACCGCAAAAAGAGGTTTTTCAGCTTTCCGGTGTTGCACACTTTGGTATACCTCTACACATTTTCAGTATTACTCGTAGCGGATTTATTATTTGAAATTATGCACGCAGCCTTGAAAATTGGGGAAAAAAGATGTCCGGACTTTTAATAAACGGACGTGATAGTGCATCGTTTAGAACAACAAACAGGTTTCTTTTTTATTTTGAGAAAAAAGCAGTTTTACAAAAATTTTTATGGAAAATAAAGTCTACAATAAGCTCTAATTACGGTGAGTTCTTTTATCGCTCTGCTTCCCTATATCAGAATCGTATTGTTTATATACGCTGAAATTTTCCGCCAGTTTATTACTTGACAAAACAAAAACTTCAGCTAAAATAACCGTTTTGTAGCATAATTGTAACAGCGTAATTCCAAATCGTTAGCACAGTGGAACTTTGAAAAGGCGCGCACTTGTCGAGTCAAAATTAAGTTGCTAGCTGAAAGAGGCGTTAAAGATTTTCATCTTGGCGTTAAGAGTGTCAGGTTTAAGAAGCTTTTTCGATAAGGTCAGATATTTTTAGGTTGTTCGGGCGCATTCATAATCCATGTCATCAGCGTCACTGTTTTGGTTTTACAATCAGGTTCCGGCTTAAGACAATGCTCTTTGTAAAAAATAGCTCTCTAAATTCAAAATCTTAACAGATTCAAAAGCAACCTGCGTTTAACACTTGAATAAATGAAACGGCAGGTATTTCGAACCTTCAAACAATATTGGCTTAAATAAAAATGCTGAACAGTTTTTCAGTCACATATGCATGCCTTTTGTGTCGTTCGGTCACTACGAGAGGCATCAATGAAAATCAAAAATTTTTTACCAATATCTCATTGACAGCTTGAAGGTTCTTTGCAAACAATATTTATTTTCAGTTTTTACATTTGAACATGGACTTTACAAAGTAAAAGATTTTTGACAAATTAGCACAGTCTACAGCAAAACAGAAACAACTTGCAAATTTATAAGACTTGAGAAAAGCTGAGAAAGTTCAAGTTTATTTACCAGACAATTAACTGAACGGTAAGCGTTTTCCAAAATATTTATGGTTTAGAAATTACCTGTAAAAGTGTTTGAATTTGAGACCGATATTTTTAAAAATTTAAAATGCCTACAGAAGTTTGAAAATTTAAGGTTTTTTCTTGTTTAGATCTTTTTTCTTCCAATTCTTCAGTTTACCTATTCCCACCTCTTTTTTTAGAAAGATTTTTTTAAAGAAAAAGAGCTTTTTTTGGCTAAGGTCGTAATTTACAACGATAATTTCTTTGTAATAATTTTTCTATATTATGACCGTTTGTTTACTGTTACGCTCCTGTTCAATCTAAATATTAACGTAAGTTCAACTGTCTCAAGTGGTCAGAAAGTGACAACCTTGTGAGTCCTGGGAATGTATAAGAGATGCAAGATTTACAAGAGAAAATCTCTACTGATGTTACAGAGGAATAGGAAAGGAGGTTTCAATAACGTCAAGTGAACAGTCATTCGAGACAGAAGAAATGTAAAAGCGAAATTGCTCAGGTGAACTTGGAAGATTAAGTAAGGGAAAAAAGTAAGGACATTGCAACTGTAAACAGAAGTAGTTGCAATAATGACTGAACTGACAAGACTACTATATTTTGGTGCGCAACTTGTGTATACGCAATTCAGAACTACTCCGGGTAGGATGATGCCTGTAAAACTGATTAGCTCTACCTAGCTATTACTAACGCTATTTGACGGTGAGTGGTTCAATTTCTTAGGGTTTATCTTAATGTCACACAATGTATAAACAACAAATAACGTCACGCTGTAAAACAGGTTAATTCAAATAAGCCGCTTTAAACAGGATTGAAAGCAATTTGACACAAAAGAGATGACCAAAACCTTAACAACTATCTTTACAACTCTTTTCAACCTCAGTCTGCCGTACACTGGTCGCCAAATCCAACTACGTCAGAAGCTCGTTTCAAATTTTTCGCTCAATGGCGACATTGGCTACCTGACCTGTGACTGTATTAACACCTGATGACTAAATAGTTGGGCTTTAATTGGAAACGGCTAACGGCTACTCGAACCTTTGCTCACTTTTCTGCCTGTTGATCAGCAGGCTGGATTTTGTGGTTTTCATCAAATGTATGTTTTAACTGACGCTTTTAAAAACAATATTGTGCACTTAATGATTATGCATGACCAAGAAAAGAACATTTCTAAACTAGAACAAATTTGAATTTTTGTTTTGTTTCATTATCTTTCGACTTTTTTCGCACAGTACTCACTGACTTCACATTTTCATTACATATTTTAAACTATCTATGAAGTATACTTCTAAGTATTTATACTTTTTTACAGTAAAAATTGTGTGATTGTTTCTAGTCTATTCTTTATTGGTGCTTTTAAAAATCGTTTATTTGCAATGTGGGAACTTTTTTTTTTTTTGCTAATCTTCTTGCTCATTGTATTTTTCTTTTGAATCAGCATAGCAGTATTTCGACTCAATGCTGGAAGTTCTCTTAGTTGATGACAGTAAAAGCATATTCTAACATTTGCTGACTGCAATTTGTATTTGGATAAACTAATTTAGTGTATGCTTTGGTTTTTTAAACTTACAAAGAAGCACAAGGTGTAGTCTCTCAAACAGTGCTAAGCCTAAGCTTATTTAATGTTGATCAGAAAGCTGTCGTCAGGAAAAGTGAAATCATTTTGAATGCAACAGCCTAAAATTTTTAGCAGTTTAGAGTTATTTCAATACATAAAACTCATCGGTAAAATTTCGGTGTTACGCAACCAAATGTCAAACATTATAAGAGGGAAAAATTTGTTAAGTGTCTTTTTTCAAAACATAAACTAAAGGGTAATATTTTTACAGTAAATACAGTTATAAGAGTTTTATATAAGACTATATAAGTACTTTGTGAACTAAAAAAAAAGCAAAATTGGCCAAAAAGATTGCAAAAGTATCTATTAAAGTCTTTGAATAAACTTATTGTCGCGCTAAAAATAAAAATAAAAGTGATATAAAAAAGACAGACAAAGTGAATTTTTGTGCTATTCGTGAACTGGCTAAAAATAAAATCAAAAAAATTAATATCAAAAGAAACATAAAAAAATTTAAAGTTTAAAAAGATGTAGTAATTAACAAAAGGCTTGCTTAACTGAGGATTCTTTAAAAACCATATACTTACCACTTCCCGTTAGCATTTTGTATGAAATTTGATGCCACTACGTGGTATCTTTAATATTCTCCATTATTTGCTAACTGGCATTATGGAAGATTTCAGATATAGTATTTGTCGCCGATCAAAAAGTTTTGCCTGACAACATGCGATTCCTTCTAATTTTGTCGTTAGTGGTGAAAAACAGACATGATTTTTTTGATATTTATTTAAAAAATTTAGTAAGTTTTTTGCTCACTATTTAAAACTTTTGAGTCACAGAAATATCCTTCTTCTGAAGTTCCCTCTCAGATGTTAATCATAAGTGGTGCCAGAAACCAAACAGGAATTGATCTTTCATTTTTTTTTCTATTGAAGTGATTTGTTCTTAACCAAAAAAATCCTATTGCTGCCTTCATTTTTCTTCGCAGCTGCTGCAGAAGGTATCAGAAGACCGACGACTATTTTAAAAAGTTGTCATCTAAGCAGCACTGAGCAAAGCTTCTCAAGAATTCGAATCCAGAAGTGTTAAAGTTATATGTTGTCAGTTTAAGTTTTATGTGACTCTTGAACTTTGCTTAATTTTATGATTAAAAAAAAGCAAATTTTTAGACACTCTCTCGTTTTTTTTTTTTTTTTTTTTGGGTCACTTCTTATGCACCTCTGTTTATGCCACTTTCATAAAACAATTTTAGACATGATAAAAGCCTAATTTTGCAACATTCATTTTGTTTCTTGATTAGTAATGGATGAAACTAATGTAATTGCTTTACTAAAAGCTTAGTTGAAACACCTCAGAAAAAACGCTGCTTTAGAAACCTCATGCTAACAGTGACTGCTTTAAGCAATTGAAGCAGAATTCTTTTGACCTTGTATTGGTTTTTTCTGATACTTTTTTAAGCTGATCAGTCAGACTAAAACATAAATACACTCTTCTTTGTTTTATTGAAAACTAACAGTTTTCAAGAAGGAAAGAGCGTCAATTTACTTTTTTTTTGTTTTAATTTTTTTGTATTTAATGCTCCTGACTTTTTTATAATCCAATAAAGATTTAGATAATAATAAAACAAGTAGTCATTTTTCAATTTTGATTGGTGATCATTATCGCAACTTTTAAAAGGTTATAAAACATTGTTTTTCAAATCTCTTTTAATTGTTTATTTTACTCTATTTTATTTTTTAGTTTTTGTTTCTTTGGTACAGAGATTGGTTCATCGGTCGTTTACAGTTCGACAAAATTTTTAATAATTCCGCACACCTAAAC